TGCCTTTTATTTCTTTGTGTTGTCTGAATGCTGTGGCTAGGACCTCCACTACTATGTTGAATAAAATTTGGCTGAGAGGGCATCCTTGTCTTGTTCCTGCTCAGCTTTTTGCTCTTCAGTATGATGTTGGCTGTGGGTTTGTAGTATGTGGCCTTTCTTATGTTGAGGTACTTGCCCTCTATATCCATTTTGTTGAGAGTTTTTATCATGAATGGATGTTGAATTTTGTCAAATGTTTTTTCAGCATCTATGGAGATGATCATGTGATTTTTTTCCTTCTTTTTGTTAATGTAGTGTATGATGTTGATGGATTTTTGAATATTGTACCATCCTTGCATCCCTGGAATAAATCCTACTTGATCATAATGGATGATCTTTTTGATGTATTTTTTAATTCAATTTGCGAAAATTTTGTTGAGTATTTTTGCATCTATTTTCATCAGGGATATTGGCCTGTAATTTTCTTTTTTTTAGTGTCTTTGCCTGGTTTTGGTATTAGAGTAGTGCTGGTCTCATAGAATGAGTTTGGAAGTATTCCCTCCTCTTCTACTTTTTGGAAAACTTTAAGGAGAATGGATCTTAGGTCTTCATTAAATGTTTGATAAAATTCAGTGGTGAAGCCATCTGGTCCAGGCATTTTGTTCTTAGGTAGTTTTTTTGATTACTGATTCAATTTCGTTGCTGGTAATTGGTTCATTCAGATTTTCTGGTTCTTCCTGGATCAGCCTTGGAAGGTTTTATTTTTCTAGAAAGTTGTTCATTTCTTCTAGGTTATCCAGTTTGTTACCATATAATTTTTCATAATATTCTCTAATAATTCTTTGTATTTCTGTGGTGTCCATAGTGATTTTTCATCTCTCATTTCTGATTCTGTTTATGTATATAGACTCTCTTTTTTTCTGAAAAGCCTGGCCAGGGTTTTATCTATTTTGTTTTTTTTCTCAAAGAACCAGCCCCTAGTTTCATTGATTCTTTCTATTGTTTTATTCTTCTCGATTTTTTTTCTGCTCTGATCTTTATTATGTCCCTCCTTCTACTGACTTTGGGCCTCATTTGTTCTTCTTTTTCTACTTTCATTAATTGTGAGTTTAAACTGCTCATTTGGGATTGCTTTTATTTCTTGAGATAAGCCTGTATTGCTATATACTTCCCTCTTAGAATGGCCTTCGCTGCATCCCACAGATTTTGCAGTGTTTAGTTATTGTTTTCATTTGTTTCAATATGTTACTTGATCTTTGTTTTTATTTGGTCATTGATCCATTGATTATTTAGGAGCATGTTGTTAAGCCTTCATGTTTTTGTGGGCTTTTTTGTTTTCTTTGCATAATTTATTTCTAGTTTCATACCTCTGTAGTCTGAGAAGCTGGTTGGTACAATTTCAATCTTTTTGAATTTACTGAGGCTCTTTTTGTGGCTTAGTATGTGATCTGTTCTTGAAAATGTTCCATGCGCACTGAAGAAGAATTTGTTTCCTGCTGCTTTTGGGTAGAGTGTTCTGTAGATGTCATTTAGGTCCATCTGTTTTAATGTGTTGTTCAGTACCTGTGTCTCCTTATTTATTTTCTGTCTGGTTGATCTCTCCTTTGGAGTGAGTGGTGTGTTGAAGTATCCTAAAATGAATGCATTGCATTCTATTTCCTCCTTTAATTCTGTTAGTATTTGTTTCACATATGTAGGTGCTCTTGCTTTGGGTGCATAGATATTTAAAATGGTTATATCCTCTTGTTGGACTGACCCATTTATCATTATGTAATGTCCTTCTTTGTTTCTTGTTACTTTCTTTGTTTTGAAGTCTATTTTGTCTAATACAAGCAGTGTAACTCTTGCTTTTTACCACCTATTATTTTCATGAAATATCTTTTTCCATCCCTTCACTTTTAGTCTGTATATGTCTTTGGGTTTGAAGTTAGTCTCTTGTAGGCAGCATATAGATGGATCTTGTTTTCGTATCCATTCTGTAACTCTATGTCTTTTGATTGGTGCATTCAGTCCATTTACATTTAAGGTGATTATTGATAGATATGTACTTACAGCCATTGCAGGCTTTAGATTCATGGTTACCAAAGGTTAAAAGGTAGCTTATTTACTATTTAACAGTCTAACTTAACTCACTTAGTACACTTTTTCAAACACAATCTAAAGGTTCTTTTTTTCCCCTCCTTTATTTTTCTTCATCTTCCACTATTTATATATTAGGTGTCATATTCTGTACTCTTTGTGTGTCCCTTCACTGACTTTGGGGGTAGTTGATTTAGTTTTGCATTTGCTTAGTAATTAGTTTGTCTACTTCCTTTACTATGGTTTTATTTTCTCTGGTGACAGCTATTTTGCCTTAGAAGCACATCTATCTAGAGCAGTCACTCCAAAATACAATGCATAGATGGTTTAGGGGAGGTATATTCTCTCACCTTTTGTTTATCTGGAAATTGTTAAATCCCTGCTTCAAATTTAAATGATAATCTTGCCAGGTAGAGTATTCTTGGTTGGAGGCCCTTCTGTTTCATTGCATTAAATATATCATGCCATTTCCTTCTGGCCTGTACAGTTTCTTCTGAGAAATCTGATGACAGCCTGATGAATTTTTCTTTGTATGTGATCTTTTTCTATCTTTGGTTGTTTTTAATACTTTGTCCTTGTCCTTGATCTTTTGTCATTTTAATTATTGTATGCCTTGATGTTGTCTTCCTTTGGTCCCTTGTGTTGGGAGATCTCTGCACCTCCATGGCCTGAGAGATTATGTCCTTTCCCAGATTGGGGAAATGTTCAGCAATTATTTCCTCAAAACCAGTTTATATCCCTTTTTCTCTCTCTTCTTCTGGTACCCCTATAATGCAAATATTGTTTCATTTGGATTGGTCACACAGTTCTCTTAATATTCTTTCATTCCTAGAGATTCTTTTTCTCTCTGTGTCTTAGCTTCTTTGTATTCCTGTTCTCTAATTTGTATTTCATTTACCATCTCCTCTACCTCATCTAATATGCTTTTATATCCCTCCATTGTACGTTTCATTTTGGATACTCTATTTTTCAATGTTTCTATCTCCTTCTTGGATTCTTCCCTGAGGTCTTCACTATTTTTCTGTAGCTCCATGAGCATGTTTATGATTTTTATTTTGAAATCTTTTTCAGAAAGATTGATGCTTTCAGTTTCACTTAGTCCTATTTCTGGTGTTTGTGGAATTTTGGGTTGTACCAGGTTCTTTTGCTGTTCATATTTGTAATGATTATTATGGAATAATAACTTTGTGTAGGTGGCACTCTCTAGTGCCCAGAAGCTCTACTCTCTCGAGCTTCCCAGCACCTGGAATGATGGCAGGGTTTGCAAGGGAGTGGCACTGTTGCCTGAGGGGAGGAATGAGCTCTTTCCTGCTTCCTGGCTGCAGTGCCTGCTTTCACTGCCATGGCCAGTGAGTTGAGCATGCATGGAGGAGCCCCTGTGTTATGCCCTGGTAGCTGCCCTGGGTGTGACTGCCCTCTGGCTGGCCTGGTGCAATGGTGGGGGCAGCAGGTTTACGAGCCGATGCTGGTGGGGAGGAAGGAGAAGCAGGCTGTGTATCGCAGTGGGGTGCCTCGGCATTCATTGCCAGCCAGGAGAATGGAGTGCCTGAAGCTCCTGAAAGTTCTCAACCTGCTGGACTGAGTGTGCAGGGACAATTTTGTCCACCTCTCCTTTCTCTTGAGCAGCAAGCTTTGTGTAATCCTTGCCCCTTTAGCAGCCCTCTCACCATTGGGAAGCCTTTCAAAGTGCCCACCTTTCTTTTGTCCTGGAGTTACTGGTTTTGGGTACCTGTTCTCCATAAGCAGCTGTGATCTCAGTCTCTCTGAGTATTCTGCCTGTCATTGCTTTCCAACCCCACTAATCTACATAGCACCATGTAATTTAATCTCCAGGGGTGGTGTTCAGCAGTCCTAGGCTTTTACTCCCTCCCTGATCCATTTCTCTTCCTCAATCTAGTAAACTGGGGGCTGGGGGAGAGCTTGGGTCCGGCTGGATTGTATATTTGCTACTTTACCCTTTTCCATGAGGTTTTCTCTTTTCCCTAGATGTAGGCAGTCCATCACAGTCTTCTTTCCAGTCCCTCTTTCAGGATTAGTTGTATTTGCTGTATTTTCATATTACATATGTTTTTGGGAGGAGGTTTCTGACTCACTTCTCACACAGCCATCTTTAAACCCCTCTGTTGGGAAATTTTTAAGTGTGTTTGGAACAACTTGGATATATGAACCTACTTTTTTAACTGTAAAATTCATGAAATCTAAATACAGATCAAAGTTTTCCAGTGAAAGCTAGCACCTGGACTGAGATATACTGTAAGTATAAAAAACACTGAATTTTGAGGACTTACGTATAACAGAATGACAAGCATATTAATAATTTTATATTGATCGTATGTTGTAATAATAGTATGTTGGCTATGTTGTCTTAAGTATAATATACAGTTGACCTTTGAACAGTTGATTCACTTATATACAGATATTTTCTATAAATATATTGGAAACATTTTTGGAGATTTGCAACAATTTGATAAAACATTTTCTTTTCTCTAGGTTACTTTATTTTAAGAATATAGTATATAATACATATAATGTACAAAATGTGTGTTAATCAACTATTTATATTATCAATAAGGCTTCCAATCAACAGTATGCTACTAGTAGTTAAGTTTTGGAGGAGTCAAAAGTTATAATACACTGATTTTCGGCTGCTAGAGGGGTCAATGCCCTTAATCCCCACATTGCTCAAGAGTCCACTGTATTATGGAAATTATTTTTACCTGATTTGGGTACTAGAAAATTTTAAATTACTATGTAGCTTGAATTATATTTCTATTGGACAGACAGAATTTATCTATTCCACTGCAAAGATTTTCTTTTTGATAATCATTGTGATAATGGAATTTCATCCCTGTCATTGTCTAAGACAATTTTTAGTAACTAGTGGTGAGTGAGTTACACTCAGTTTATGGAGTTGTCTCTTTTGAACTCTTCTGTCAATGCAGATCACAGTCCACCTCCTCAGCCCAAGGTGAATATAATTTGCCAGAGCCTTCATCAGGAGGAAATAATCCAGGAGTTAACCATGAAGCTGAGACACATTGGAGACAGCATTGATCATAGGATGGCTCAAGAGGTGAGACATTGGTTTCCGCAGCAGGGACCTCTCTGCTGGGTGGAAAGAGCAAATAGAACAGTAGGTACCAAGTATCTGGGATGCCCAGAAATTAGCAGAACACATGGATTAATGATGTCCAGATTACCAAACATTAGATCTGAAAATTGTGAACCTGAGTCAAAGCCAGTGTTTGAACTCACACCTGCTACTCAAACTGTGGTCCATGGACTCACAGCATCAGCATTGTTTGGCAGCTGGTAAGATGACCTGAGGTATGGTCTGGGCATCAGGCACTTTGAAAACTCCCCAGGTGAGACTAATGCTCCATCAGGGAGAAGAACCTCTGCCTTTGGTTGTGGTCATCCTTGCAGCACCATCCCAGAGGTTATGATCAGCCCCACTGCTGTTGATTGTTGATTGCTTTGTTTCTCCTGATTATTGTTTAAGATAAGGGAAAATAGAAAAGAATAATGATTACTGTTTGAATCTGAGGGATGTCAAAATCCATAGCCAACTTAGTTTTCTTCCAGAACAACCTGTAGTTGGTGGCAGAGAGAGAATGATCACATGGAATTTCACAATAAGAGGGGTGGCTGCCCCTCAGAGCCAACTTCTTGCCCATAAATGTACCTGTCCTATGATGACTTCCTGTTCATCACTGCTTCTGCATCACAGTGGCTTTGGGAAGGGCCTTTTCCTCTTTTATGCTCTGGTCCAAATGTGAACAATACTTGGCCATTCCCTCAAACAAAACATTCCCTGAGACAAAATATGAATGGAAGTTCCCAAAATAATGCTACTAAAAGAAAGAAGGAAACAAAGAGGAAATAAACACAGGCAATCAAATAATGTATTTGATAGACCAATTTCATTCAAATAAATATTTATTGAGTACTTACTATATGCCAGAGTCAGTTCTAGGCTTTGGGTGTCTGAGTGAGAGAAAGAAGATGCACCTGCTCTCCCAGAACCTGTAACGCAGGAGGGAGACAGACAGTAAAGCAGATGACTGGCCTGCTGCTTAGTCCCATCAGACAGTGATGTGGTCTCAAAGCAGGGTTAGGGGAAACTGAGTGATGGAGAGCAACTCTGGTTGGGTGATCAGGGAAGGCCTCTCTGGGAAGGTGATATTTGAGCAGAGACTGGAAGTGGGGAGTGGGCCTTGGGAACACCTGGGTGGAAAGTGTCCCAGGCAGAGGGAACAGGCCTATGGAACAGCGTGGAGGCTGTATAGCTGGAATGGAGTGAGTTCAGGTCCAGGAGTTGGCCTCAGTTTAAGAACTGAGGGTCTGTGATTGGGTTTTACCCAAAATAGAGTGAAAGCTTTTGGGAGAATGGAGACTGACTGTGGTGCAGAGAGCTGGCTGTTGTGAAAATTAAATGAGATAATCTTTTATTATTCACTTAGAACAGAGACTAACCCACAGAAAATGATCAACAAATGTCATTTAAGCCAAAAAATTAATTTGTTTTTTGTCCTTGCCCTTTCAGTATCTGGAGTTGAACATCTCTTTGCTTTGTACCGTCATCACATTGTCATGATGTTGGCAATCTCCCCCTGCTACGGTTTCTTCTTGAGGAAACTGTTGCTGATGACTGCACTTTATGATTCTGAGGAATGTCCTTAGTTCAGCTTTCTTGCTTCTTTATCAGCTAACTCTCTCAATACTCATGGCTCCTTCTAATTTTTTTTTATCTCAAGAAGAGAGAACAAAGTAGGACAAATCACTACCACCTATTTCCTATTTTTGCCTCAACCCAGTTACTGCTTGATGTAACTCCTTTCTCATTTTTCTCCTTTTCTTTCTTTCCCTTACTTTTTAATTAATTATGTCTTAAATTTACCCCTGCAGCTTAAGAAACTGATGCTGAACTGCTCTGGCTTTCCTTTCTTTTTAAAAAAACTTTATTGAGAAATAAAATCTATATTCCGTACAATTCACCCCTTTCAACTGTACAATGAGTGGCTTTTAGTATATTTATGGTACTTTAAAACTGTCATCACAATCAATTTTAGAACATTTTCATCACCCCACAAAGATATTCCAAACCCAAGAGCAGTCACCAGTCTTTCCTCCCAGCCCCACCAGTCTTCTCTCTGTCTCTATGGATGTACCTATTCTGGACATTTCTCCTAAGTGGATTAATATAATACATGACCTTTTGTGTCTGGCTTCTTTTGCTTAGCATAATATGTTTTTCAAGTTTCATCCATATTGTAGCACATATCAGTTCTCCATTTTTTATTGCTGAATAATATTCCATTGTTGGCCATTTTGTTTATCCATTTATCAGTTGATGGACATTTGGGTTGTTTCCACTTTTTTACTATTATGAATAATGATGCTGTGAATATTGGTATAGAAGTTTGTTGTGGACACGTTTTCAATTCTTTTTGGCACATACTGAGTCATATGACAATTTATGTTTAACTTTTTGAGGAACTTCCAGACTATTTTCTGAAGTGGCTACACCATTTTACATTGTGGCCCACCAGCAGGTACAAGGGTTCTGGTTTCTCTACATGCTTGTCAACACTTATTAATTGTCTTTTTGATTATAGCCATCCTAATGAGCATTAAGAGGAATCTCATTGTGGTTTTGACTTGCAGTTCCATAATGTTTAGAATTGTGCATCTTTTCATCTGCATTGGTCATTTGTGTATCTTTTCAGAGAAATGTCTATTCAGATCCATTGCCCTTTTTAAAATTGGGTTGTCTTTTTATTGCTGAGTTCAGGAGTTTTTCATGTATTCTAGATATAAATTCCTTATCAGATATATATTATTTGCAAATATTTTCTCCTATCTATCAGATTGTCTTTCTTGATGGTATTCTTTGAAGCCCAAAAGTTTTTAATTTTGATGAAGTTCAATTTATCTATTTTTAATTGTGTTGCTAGTGCTGTTGGGTCATATTTAACAAACCATTACCTACTCCAAAGTCATGAAAATGTATACCTATGTTTTCTTCTAAGAGAGTTATAGTTTTAACTCTTAAATTTAGGTCTTTGATCCATTTGGAGTTAATTTTTACATATGGTGTGAGTTAAAAGTTCATCTTCTTTCTTTTGCATATGGGTATCCAGTTGTCCCAGCACCATTTGTTAAAAAGACTATTCTCTCCCGACTGAAGTGCCTTGGAATGCTTGTCAAAAATCAGTTGATTGTGAAAAGTGAACATTTATTTCTGGGCTCTCAATCCATTCCATTGGTCTAGATGGCTATCCTTATGCCCTAGCTTTTCCTGCAGCAGTTTACACAGTTAGAGTTTTAAAGATATCTTGTCTTGTACCTCAAAAATGAATTTTAAAACATTTCTAAATAGACACCAGTATATTTTAAAAATTCCTCCTAAGTTTGGCTCTAAAATGCTAAAGACTTAAATCAAGCAACTTTAACAGAATTTCAAATCTGGCATGGTTCTCCTATTTTTCATGTATTTAAAGAAACTTTTACTCTTGCTTTTGGATCTCCCTAGCAAGAAGCTCACCAATTGTGAGCTATAATTTTGTCTGCTGAATCAGTTGTCCTTGGACTGCCACATAGCTTGATTTCTTGTTCTATTCACTTAAGCGGGGATTCGGTGTTTTCAAGTAGACCTTCATTCTCAAAATGACATCTTCTGTTTTGCTATTTATTTTTGAGAGGTTTTGGTTCAAAGATCTGGTCTTTTTTTTTAAACCTCTCTTTTTTATTTTTCTTTTTTAAACAGGCTCTTCAGCAGGAAGGCAGAGATGCACTGGCTCATTTTGTCTTCATTTTCTTCGGAGGAGTTCATGGGCTGCTACGCTTTCTCTGGAATAACCACTTGGTGTAAATGGAATGTAAATGTCAAGTTCTGTTTTCCTGCTACCCTCTGAGAAAACATGAATCCTATAGGAACAGACAGGAAAAAGACCCTCTTCCACCTTCCTCTCTTCACCCACCACTGTTGATTTATACCTGGTTTGTTGGAAAACTGCAGACTCTCTGGCCATTTGTCTGTTCAGAGCAGCCAGCTTTGAGATGTCTGTGATTGCCTCATGGCAGAGCCCAACGGATACTTAGGAACTCAGGAGGCCTTGACACTTGGTGAACACCAGTGCTGTGGATGGTCCCAGTGCCCCTAATCAGGAAACCTTGAACATTTCCTTCTATCAGTGAAACTGAGGTCACAGAATGGACGCTTTCTCATGGCCTTCCTGGGTGCCAGGCCTGCAGTGAGCTGTCGGCCCCACCCTGTTGCCCATGCCCAGCTATGCAGTGTCCCATTCTCCTTTTACCTTTCTACCTCATATTCCCAATCTCCCACCTTGTAGAAGTATTACAAGTACTAAGACAGTTTACTGTTGTAAGTTCTATATAAGCGTTTTGAGTTCTTTGTAAAAATAGAGTGAAAGCTTTTGGGAGAATGGAGACTGACTGTGGTGCAGAGAGCTGGCTGTTGTGAAAATTAAATGAGATCATCTTTTATTATTCACTTAGAACAGAGACTAACCCACAGAAAATGATCAACAAATGTCATTTAAGCCAAAAAATTAATTTGTTTTTTGTCCTTGCCCTTTCAGTATCTGGAGTTGAACATCTCTTTGCTTTGTACCGTCATCACATTCTCATGATGTTGGCAATCTCCCCCTGCTACGGTTTCTTCTTGAGGAAACTGTTGCTGATGACTGCACTTTATGATTCTGAGGAATGTCCTTAGTTCAGCTTTCTTGCTTCTTTATCAGCTAACTCTCTCAATACTCATGGCTCCTTCTAATTTTTTTTTATCTCAAGAAGAGAGAACAAAGTAGGACAAATCACTACCACCTATTTCCTATTTTTGCCTCAACCCAGTTACTGCTTGATGTAACTCCTTTCTCATTTTTCTCCTTTTCTTTCTTTCCCTTACTTTTTAATTAATTATGTCTTAAATTTACCCCTGCAGCTTAAGAAACTGATGCTGAACTGCTCTGGCTTTCCTTTCTTTTTAAAAAAACTTTATTGAGAAATAAAATCTATATTCTGTACAATTCACCCCTTTCAACTGTACAATGAGTGGCTTTTAGTATATTTATGGTACTTTAAAACTGTCATCACAATCAATTTTAGAACATTTTCATCACCCCACAAAGATATTCCAAACCCAAGAGCAGTCACCAGTCTTTCCTCCCAGCCCCACCAGTCTTCTCTCTGTCTCTATGGATGTACCTATTCTGGACATTTCTCCTAAGTGGATTAATATAATACATGACCTTTTGTGTCTGGCTTCTTTTGCTTAGCATAATATGTTTTTCAAGTTTCATCCATATTGTAGCACATATCAGTTCTCCATTTTTTATTGCTGAATAATATTCCATTGTTGGCCATTTTGTTTATCCATTTATCAGTTGATGGACATTTGGGTTGTTTCCACTTTTTTACTATTATGAATAATGATGCTGTGAATATTGGTATAGAAGTTTGTTGTGGACACGTTTTCAATTCTTTTTGGCACATACTGAGTCATATGACAATTTATGTTTAACTTTTTGAGGAACTTCCAGACTATTTTCTGAAGTGGCTACACCATTTTACATTGTGGCCCACCAGCAGGTACAAGGGTTCTGGTTTCTCTACATGCTTGTCAACACTTATTAATTGTCTTTTTGATTATAGCCATCCTAATGAGCATTAAGAGGAATCTCATTGTGGTTTTGACTTGCAGTTCCATAATGTTTAGAATTGTGCATCTTTTCATCTGCATTGGTCATTTGTGTATCTTTTCAGAGAAATGTCTATTCAGATCCATTGCCCTTTTTAAAATTGGGTTGTCTTTTTATTGCTGAGTTCAGGAGTTTTTCATGTATTTTAGATATAAATTCCTTATCAGATATATATTATTTGCAAATATTTTCTCCTATCTATCAGATTGTCTTTCTTGATGGTATTCTTTGAAGCCCAAAAGTTTTTAATTTTGATGAAGTTCAATTTATCTATTTTTAATTGTGTTGCTAGTGCTGTTGGGTCATATTTAACAAACCATTACCTACTCCAAAGTCATGAAAATGTATACCTATGTTTTCTTCTAAGAGAGTTATAGTTTTAACTCTTAAATTTAGGTCTTTGATCCATTTGGAGTTAATTTTTACATATGGTGTGAGTTAAAAGTTCATCTTCTTTCTTTTGCATATGGGTATCCAGTTGTCCCAGCACCATTTGTTAAAAAGACTATTCTCTCCCGACTGAAGTGCCTTGGAATGCTTGTCAAAAATCAGTTGATTGTGAATAGTGAACATTTATTTCTGGGCTCTCAATCCATTCCATTGGTCTAGATGGCTATCCTTATGCCCTAGCTTTTCCTGCAGCAGTTTACACAGTTAGAGTTTTAAAGATATCTTGTCTTGTACCTCAAAAATGAATTTTAAAACATTTCTAAATAGACACCAGTATATTTTAAAAATTCCTCCTAAGTTTGGCTCTAAAATGCTAAAGACTTAAATCAAGCAACTTTAACAGAATTTCAAATCTGGCATGGTTCTCCTATTTTTCATGTATTTAAAGAAACTTTTACTCTTGCTTTTGGATCTCCCTAGCAAGAAGCTCACCAATTGTGAGCTATAATTTTGTCTGCTGAATCAGTTGTCCTTGGACTGCCACATAGCTTGATTTCTTGTTCTATTCACTTAAGCGGGGATTCGGTGTTTTCAAGTAGACCTTCATTCTCAAAATGACATCTTCTGTTTTGCTATTTATTTTTGAGAGGTTTTGGTTCAAAGATCTGGTCTTTTTTTTTAAACCTCTCTTTTTTATTTTTCTTTTTTAAACAGGCTCTTCAGCAGGAAGGCAGAGATGCACTGGCTCATTTTGTCTTCATTTTCTTCGGAGGAGTTCATGGGCTGCTACGCTTTCTCTGGAATAACCACTTGGTGTAAATGGAATGTAAATGTCAAGTTCTGTTTTCCTGCTACCCTCTGAGAAAACATGAATCCTATAGGAACAGACAGGAAAAAGACCCTCTTCCACCTTCCTCTCTTCACCCACCACTGTTGATTTATACCTGGTTTGTTGGAAAACTGCAGACTCTCTGGCCATTTGTCTGTTCAGAGCAGCCAGCTTTGAGATGTCTGTGATTGCCTCATGGCAGAGCCCAACGGATACTTAGGAACTCAGGAGGCCTTGACACTTGGTGAACACCAGTGCTGTGGATGGTCCCAGTGCCCCTAATCAGGAAACCTTGAACATTTCCTTCTATCAGTGAAACTGAGGTCACAGAATGGACGCTTTCTCATGGCCCTTCCTGGGTGCCAGGCCTGCAGTGAGCTGTCGGCCCCACCCTGTTGCCCATGCCCAGCTATGCAGTGTCCCATTCTCCTTTTACCTTTCTACCTCATATTCCCAATCTCCCACCTTGTAGAAGTATTACAAGTACTAAGACAGTTTACTGTTGTAAGTTCTATATAAGCGTTTTGAGTTCTTTGTAGGAAAAGTGTTATTTAAAAAAACAATAATTTAAAACAAGAAATAAATATTGTTATTTTATTGAGCATGAAACACCTGTGGATATTTCTTTTGTGAAGGAGACATTCCACTTGCTCCTACTCATGTGGGTTCATAATTTTGTAGGCTTTGATCATATGTAGCATCGCCTTTGTCTTTCCCAAGGAAAAAGTCCCCATTTTTTTGGTCTGTCCCAGACAATGAATGCTTGTTCAGTTCCAGCATCACTTACTTAGGTTTTGGCTTGCTGACATGGAACAGATCACAAAATGTCTTTCTTATTTATTTATTTTTACTCTTTTTAACTGGTATTTATTTGTATGGTTAAAAAATCAAAACAATATAAAAAAGTTTCCAATGAAAACTCTTGTTCCTTTTTCTATACTGAATTCCAATTAAGTTTAGTAGTTTGTTACATATACTTCCCCAGTTTCTTTGTATAAATAACCAGTGTATATACATATACATGAAATACTTTGTATATATGCATAGGTATATATATATATTTATACACAAAATGTAACATGTAATGCACATTGTTCTGTACCTTGGTATTTTTTGCTTGGCATGGTGCACTATTTCCATTGTCTTACAAATGTTAAGTTACAAATGTTAAGTTACAAATGTTTACTCTTCATAGCAACCTTAGGAGACAGATATTATCATTAGCTCTATTTTGCTGTTAAGGAAACTGAAGCAGTAGTTTATAGAGAGGTTAACAGACTTGCTCAAGGACACACAGCAAGTAAATGACATAGTTGGGATTCCAAGCCAGGCAGGCTATCCTCAGAGTCCTGGTTCTTAATTGCTGTGCTTGGAGAGTTTGCCATAGTCCTCAGAGAGCTCTGTCGGATAACGATCTTCTGTTAAGTGGATGTATTATAGCATATTTCATCAGATACTTTTTAATGGATACCTGGGTTGTTTCTAATCATTTGGTATTATAAGCCATGTTGAAATAATTAACCATGCACATTTGGGGTATGTGCAGGTGTATTTGTTGAATACACCTTTTCCAGTAGTGGGATCGCTGGGTGAAGGGCAAATAGCATTGGCAACTTTGCTAGTCCTGCTGTACTACCCTCGTGGGGCTGTATCACTTCACGTGCTCAGTGCTCTGTCCTCCACAGCCTCTCCAGCAGATGATGTTATTAAACTTTGGAATTTCTGCCAACAGGTAAGCACTGATATATCAGAATATCTTTAATCTGCGTATCTTTTATAATGAGTGAGTCTGAGCAGCTTTTTCTACATACAGGAACAATTTGGCATTTTGTTTTAGGTGGACTTTCTATGCACAGTCTTGGTTCATTTTTCTTTTGGGACTCTGGCCTTCTCGCTGGTTTCAGGAGCTCATGATGTATCCGTGCTAAGCTTTCTTTATAACAGCATCTAAACCCTCAGAATTTTGGCAGAAGGTTATGACTTCTTTCCTCCCTTACTTTGGAGGCTGTGTTGGTGTGCTTTAATGCTTGCAGTCTCTCTGGGCTTCCTCTCGAGACAGGGGGAGCTGAGGCAGGGGCACCACAGCTGGAGCAGCCAGAGGCCCGGGAACACAGGTGTCAGCCCAGATGGGTCTAAGTGAGAACACCGCAGCGCCCTGAGGTGCCTGGGCCTGGGCGGTGGGGCCTCCACCGAGAGGCAGGGTGACGCACCCCTACAGGGATAGGAACCTGGTCCTGGCCAACAGCTTGGGAGGCCCCCTCCCATCCATCTGCCCAGACGCCAAAGGCGAGGTGAAGTTGGTCTGTCGCTGTCCTGAGCCCGGGGCCGGAGAGGCGCTGTCCCAGACCGCTCGGCTCCCCAGACCATGCCTAGTCCCACCTCTGCCCCGTGGGCGCCAGGGCTAGGCTGCCCAAGGGGCTGTCAGCCGCAGGAGGCTGCGAGCAGGACCGACGCCTC